TTAAGGACTGCAGGTTTGTGATACAGCTCATACATGGAGATTGGTAACTGGGGGCACATAGTTCTCCAGGTCCTTTACTACAGTGTTTATTTTAATGTTCACCAGGACACCTAGGGATGCTGTTGAGGGCAGATTCTGACTGAGGGTACTCGGGAGAGGCCCGAGTGTTTTAACTTGATGCTGATGTTTCAGGGCCGTGGACCAAGCATTGAACCGCCAGGAGCTCCCTGTGCCCTGTCACCTACAGACCCTGGCAGGTTGGAAACCCACTGGCTGTGCATTTCATCAGTCACAAAAGTTAATCTCTGGTGTGGTTTCAGAAATCTCTCCCAACTCGTGCAAACCATAGAGTCTGCCAGCCCACCCACTGCAGGCAGCAAGCTTCATGAATCCATTCCTTGAGGCCAGAATTCTGCATTTGAGCTTGTCGTTTTCTTAGTTCATATTGGCTAACCCAAGGTTTTCTTAACCACAACCTAAACAATTCTTTTGTCAGGGTTTGTTCAGTGTGTTAAGCAAAAACCATTGGCTTCTCATGCCTGGATACCAGCGGCATCTACCTCTCAAGTTACAACCAAAAATGTCCCTAGACATTGCCATAGGTTCCCTAAAAGTCACTGGAAACCATTCAACATGAGCTTGCCCGCTGAGCCTACCTCAGCTTTCCGCGGCTCCTTTAAATGTGTTTATTGCTACAGCTGTTCTGTCCCCAACGCTTCCCTTTCAGTGGGTGATAACTCAAGTAGGTCATTTGCAATAATGCATTCCGTGGACTGCCATCTCCCATATCGGAATATTGATGAAATCCCCACCTTTCATTCCATCTCAGGCTCTGATTTAAATATCTCAAAATGCCTCTTGTTTCTCTGTGAGTCTATTGCCAACTTCTTAATCCCAGTACCAATTGTTCATTCCATTGGGGAATTTGCACTGCTAGCAACAGAAGTCTACTTTGAACTACATTAATTAGAGTCACTCTAGCTGCTGTAAAAGATAAACCCTATAATATCTGTGACTTTTCACAAAAGACTCTTTTCCCCCCTCTTTCACGTAAAACTTAAGATGGGAGTTTCTGTGTGGCAGGTGATAGAGGGACCCAGAATCCTTCCAGTTCCAACATCTTCCAAGTATGGCCCCAACGTGGTTCTGCTTTTCTGCTTCAAACCAAGAAAGAGGAGGTAGAAAAAACACACACTCATTTCCTCAACTCGGATTCAGAAGACAAACATATCACGTTCATGTGAACGAGATGGATGGTTCCACCAAACCTGAGACTGAGAAATAGAGTCACTGGCTAGGTGGCCACTTTCCCACAATAATTATTCTAAATGGAGACAGGAACGTGAGCTTTGGTGGAGAATCAGCCATTGCTGCTCTGCTCACGTAACTCAGAAAGGGGGTTGTTTGAGGGATGCACAGTTCACAGAACTGAAAGATGAGTTAACAAGGAGGCCTGGAAGGAAGGCAGAAACCAAAGGAGTCCACCTCAGCAGCAGGTGGTCCCTGTCTCTCTCTCTGGGCTGCTGCTTTCTGACCATCTGAATGGATGTTATGGACTGAATGTTTGTCTCTCCCACCCCAGCTTGTAAGTGGAAACCCTGACCCCCATCTACCCCCACGTAAGACACTGTTCCAGGTGTTGGCAATTCAGTAGGGGACAAAATAGATCAAAACTCTTGCTCTTGGGCTGGGTTTGTGTATCAGTGGTACAGCACTTGCCAGATATGTGAGACACTAGGTTTGCTCCTCAGCACCATATTAAAAAAAAAAAAAGAAATAGAGGTATTGTGCCCCTCTATAACTAATGTGTGTATGTGTATATATCTCCAACTCTTGCTCTCATTGAACTTCCATTCTAGTGGAGTTGGAGTTGGGGGTGGTGGTGTCAAAATCCTATTTTAAAAAATCTTTCCAATATAATCAGAGTCTATGAATACAACCAGCCTCAGGCTTGAGCTGACTCAGCTTTGTTTCAAGGATCTACATTTTGGATTTGCTTCTCTGGAGGAGTTCTGTTCTCAGACTCCCATCATCACAGCACCCAGTCCAGTAGAAAAGAGGGAACATCTCACTCTCAAAGGTTTCAGTGGACATTTGATCTCCTTGTTACATCTTTATCACTGTCTTAGCCTTGTGTTGCTATAACAAAACACAAGGTATTAGCTAATGTGCAAAGAAAAGAGGTTTATTTAGCTAATAGATTTGGAGATTCAAAGTGCATCCCCATCTAAACTACAATGGCTGAGAGCATCTGTTCAGCTTTGCAAGGGCCTTCTTGTCTACCTCTCAACTTGGCACATGGCATCATGGCAGAAGTACTTTTGAGAAGGAACAATAGAAAGATCACAAGGTGAGACAGGAAGCAAAGACACATTCAGGGCCAGGCTTATTTAATTTAATTAATTTATTTAGTGGTTTGGGGGTTGAACCCAGGGGTCCTTTCCCACTGAGTTACCTTTTTTTTTTTAGTTATATATGGACACAATATCTTTATTTTTTAAAATTTATTTTTATATGGTGCTAAGGATAGAACCCAGTGCCTCACACATGCTAGGCAAGTGCTCTGCCACTGAGCCCCAGCCCCAGCCCATATCTTTTTTATTTTTCAGGGAGGATCTTGCTAATTGTGTAGGCTGGCCTCAAACTTGCAATCCTCCTACCTCAGCCTCTGGCCAAAGTCCCCTGTGAATGACATTAACTCCTTCTGAGGCAAGCCTCCAATGACCTAATTACCTCTCAGTAGGCCACATATCTTGAAGATTCCACCACTTCTCAAATATCACCACACTGGGATTAAGCTTCCATTGGGGATACCCTCAAGCCATAGTCAAACCACACCATCACAATCACCACACCAATTTTTGTGTTTGGGAAATGGAATGTTCCCATTGGTTTAGGCCAGATGAGGTCCTTCCTGCATCCCCATCTAACCTACAATGGCTGAGAGTTGGTAGAGTGTGGTTCCTCAGGACAACACTATCTTTCTTTCAATTGCAACATTTACGTTTTACTTGTGTTTCAGGTCATTTTCAAGCACTGGTACAGAATAGTTAATGAGAGCAAGGATCTCACTTTTCCTGAATCCCGTCTCTGTCATTTGTTGGCCATGTAAGCCTCGACAAATTACTTAAGCACTCAAGATTCAGTTTTCACATCTGTTGAGATAATAGTTCTACCTCAGAAAGGTGTGACAAATATATTAATTAATGTACTACACTCAGAACACTTTTTTTGGTACTGGGGTGCTTTATTACTAAGCTCCAACCCCAGCTCCTTTTTGTTTTCCCCCACAACATCTTCATTTTATTTATTTATGTTTATGTGGTGCTGAGGATCAAACTTAGGGCCTTGCACACTGGAGGGGAGCACTCTACCACTGAGCCACAACCCCACCCCCACCTCCTTTTTTTAATTAATTTTTTTTTTTTTTTGACACAGGGTCTCACTAAATTTCTGAGGCTGGTCTTGAACTTGCAATCCTCCAGCCTCAGCCTCCTGAGCCGCTGGGATTATAGGCATGTGCCACCACACCCAGCTCAGAATACTTCTGGGAACATCTACTATTTTCCAGCAAAAGAGAAACCAGTTTAACAGTACAGGAAACATTGGATCACATACGTGTGCAAACCTTCCGAAGTATCACCGCAACCCTCAAACATAGGGCAGTTTGTTGATCAGAGCTTGCAAGAATTTTCTACAAATGTTCTTACTCAAATTTCTAAGGACTCTCATTCCTATTTAGAAGAAGAGTGCCTGTTTTCCTACCTTCAAGCATTAAACAAAAGAAATAGGCTTCCCAAGTGGACGAATTTAGGTCATGTGCCTGCCCCTGAACCATTCACAGTAGCCAAGAAAATGCCTTGCAGTGATTGGTTTAGAGWTGAATTCCTTCCTCATTCTTGCACTTAGAGGGATGGGATTATGTTGACTGCTAGTAAGAGCAACCCATCATGAACTCCTTGGCAGGGACACACCAAATGAGGCTGGCATGAATGCTTGCAAGAGAGGAAAAAGTTCACTGTTTGAATTTACTTGTAGTAAAATAAATAAATAAATAAACAAACCAATATAACTTTCCTACAATTACTCTCTTTTTAAGACACAGAAAAACTGCAGGAAAAAACCCCAAAGTGGTCCACGATTTGGATGCTTATAACCATCTTTTTAGTATTTTTAAATGAAATACASGGCAACASTTTGATAATTTGCTGTGATTATGTAAGAGAATGTCTCCCCGCCCCATTGAGATACATTTTGAAATATTTAAGGGGTAAAGGGACATGAAACAAAAGGCTCAACGATATATAAAAATCAGTTATATGTATGCATGTATACACACATGTCTACATAGAAAATGTGACATTAATATTTGGCAGCTCTAGGTCAGATTTTGCCACTCTGTATTTGAAATTATTTAAAACTGATAAGTTAAAAAAGAGGTTGAAGAGGCATAATAAAAATCTTGTGAACATATCTGTGGCTTCTACATGGTCTCATGACACAATTACAAATATATGTATACATCGAAACTGAAAAATGCAACACAAATCTGCTCTATGCCTTCCTTCTACCACATCCAGAAACCCTTGCTATGAGGAAAAAATGCAAATCAATATTTTTATATAAAGACTTTTTTTTTTAACATGATGAGTTTTAGAATAATTTTGTAGCATTTAAGGCAGCAGCACAGGAAAAAGACACGGGACCACACGCTGCGCACCCCTAAACTGGGGCCGGCAGCGGCGGGGAACCGCCCCTTCGCGCTGCACGCCGGGACCTGGAGTTTGCCCACTCCAGCCTGCAAAGCGCTCTGGGATCGCCCGGCCACTCCCTCATCTCGCGAGGTTGTCCTCCCCTTCCTTTTAGCCGTCTGTTCCTCCCCCCCACCTCCCCGCCTAACGTGTTTTTCAAATCCACCAATGGGTGCCCAGCTTAGGCTCGAACCAGCCAATCGGAGTGCGGARTCACCGGGAAATTTAAATCGCGCCGGCCGGCTGCACGAGGCACACCGTCTCTGGGCTGAGCCGCGGTGGACGTTTGGAGGGCAGCCGATCCGCAACCTGTAAGCCCCGCACCGCCTCCTGTGGAAGCCTGAGCCCGCTGTGCAGGTACAGACTCAGGCCACAGCCGGGTCGAGCGAACGGCTGCCAGCGGGCCACCCTGGCCTTGTGGATGGCGGGAGGAAGGCCCGGGGTTTTATCTGGGCCTGGCCTTGGCCTCCCAGGTTGACGCGGCCTTGGGGCGTCGGTCGTTGACCAGGCGGGTTAGTTTCGCAATGCGGGGTTCGGGCTCTAGGGATCTAKGCGCTGCAAACCGCAGCGGAAGCCCTAGCGCGTCGTGGCCCAGGGAATCCAGGAGACAGGACMGAGGGCGAATGTCCCGGGGTGATCGAGGTGGCCCTGGCCTCTCACCCATTCCCCGCTGTAGGTCCCCCTTGAAGGGGTTGAAGACACAGGGCACAGAGGCTGAAGATGAGGTTGACGGTGGCAGTTGGGGAGAGATCTCTCCAACACATAGGCCCTAGGTAGGCTGTGTCACAGTGTCACAGCACCKTGGACGAGCATAATGGAATTAAAGACAGCAGATTGTAAGGAGGGCTTTGACTTGTCATCTTTTGGAGTATGGTTTTAGGTGTCTGAGTCTGACGCACAATTGATGTCATCCTGATTGGATGCATTCACTGGAAATCRTTGGAAATGAGAATGTGTGCAAGATGCTGAAGATGCTGCAGCCCCATGTCACAAGTTTCCAGTGTTGGCAAGATGAACCGATTTTTATTTAACTAGTRTGGACAGTGGGCTTACTTTGATCATTTTAAAAGACAGTAGGGCAGGGAGCGCCTTCAGAGGCCTTCCAAGGACATAGGTTTTTACTGTAATTCAACTGTGTTCCCCTACTTTGTGTTCCATTAACTATAATGGACTTTAGAGTATGTCTACACTGTCCATTGAGGTGGCGAGCAGAACTTGTGGCTTCTGAGCACTTAAAAAATGATAGTTAGAATTGAAATATGCAGTATGTTGTATAAGACACACTGTGTGCTATGTGAAATACACATAGGATTTCCAAAATGTGTAAAAAAAAATGTAAAATATCTCAATTTTTAATATTGATTCCATGTTGAAGTAATATTTTGGATATGTTGTTAAAATATTAAAATTAATTTCGCTTGTTTCTTTTTGTTTTTATGTGCTTACTGGAAATTTTTAATTTATATGGCTTGGATTATATTTCTGATGCATAGTTTCCTTTTAGAGAGGCAGGGATAATTCTCTTTTGATTAAAACCACATCCATAGTGCTGGAAACTTGAAGTGCCTTCTTAGAGTAGAGGTGGATTCAATTTTTGCTTGATAATTCTTATTTGTTTTTCGTATTGACAAAGCAAAATAATAACAGAATTTTTTTTTCCTCCCATTTTTTTAGCTTTCTCCCTTTGTCTCATACCATGTCCACCAATGAGAATGCTAATTCACCAGCTGCCCGGCTTAACAGATTCAAGAACAAGGGAAAAGACAGTACAGTAAGTATCTTCTGTTGTTTTTCTGTAGTATTTTTCAAATGAGAATATACTTGAGAAGGGGTTAAGACTTAGAAGGATTTTTTTTTTAAATGCCTCACTTGGCAACAAAAATAGATGTGATAGGTGAACYGATCTGTTATCTTTTCTCAAGGAAATGAGGCGGCGCCGAATAGAAGTTAATGTGGAGCTGAGGAAAGCTAAGAAGGATGACCAGATGCTGAAAAGGAGAAATGTAAGCTCCTTTCCTGATGATGCGACTTCACCACTACAGGAAAACCGCAACAATCAGGTAAATACAATGTAGTTCATGAATTATTACCATAATCCAGAACATCAGTATGGATGTTTCTTTGAAATTTACRTAGTAATATTCCATAATATTATGGTTTTTACTATCAAATCAGTGAAGATTTTTTTCTGCTCCCAGTCAGCAATTCTTAYGAGTATCTTCTTTCCTACTCATCCTCTATAATCTACTGAAGCTGATTCCAAACTCTTTTGAATTCTGACCTTCCTGCAGTTTCCCTGCATTTCTGGCTACTAGCTGGGTACCTTGACCTAACTGTTTCAATCAATGTTAACTGTGTTCAGAACTAACCACTTTGCAACTTAATTCAGAATTTTTTAATGTTCTCTATTTTTATTTTTATGTTTTTGGTTTTCTTTATTACCAGTGTTCAAATCTTTTTCTTCCTGAAATATTTATGGTAACTTCCAAATTTATCTTATTCCCTTTATTCTGTGTCATATACTCTTTTCTTAAAATTTTTCCAACACTACATTGTGTGCCACACTGTTTCCTTTAACTAGACTGCAAATATGATGGTGCTCCTRTAGGATTATGTGGAACTGGAACAGGAATGCATAGCTAAAGAAGAGATAAGAGAAAAGAAAAACTGCAGGAAAGAAAAAGAAGTAAAGGATTTAACAGAAGTTTTTGCAGACCTCAACAAGCTTCTTAAAATGTTTGAGCTGAGCATTGGAGTTCCTGCCTATAATCCCAGCTATTTGAGAGTCTGAGCAGGAGGATTTTAAGTTCAGGGATGGTTTGAGCAACCAACTTATCCAGAACCTATCGAACCTATCTCAAAAAAAAAAGGGGGGGGGGTGTGGTGTGGGGATGTAGTTCAAAGCCCCTGGGTTCAGTCCTCAGTATGAGAAGGGATCAAAAAGATGGACTCCACTACTGAAAATGACTAGAGAATGTTCATGGTACATTTTCTCCTTATAAGTAAACCTATTATGAAAAACAACAAAAGCAAAACAACATGGGCACATTTCTGAAAAGAATTACTCCTCCTTAAAAAGAGCTTGAGCTGTGCATGGTTGTGCTCGCCTGTGATCCCAGCGACTCCCAAGGCTAAGGAAGGGAATCGTGAGTTCAAAGCCAGCCTCAGCAAAAGTGAGGCACTAAGCAACTTGGTGGGATCCTGTCTCTAAATAAAATACAAAATAGGGCTGGGGWTGTGGCTCACTGGTCGAGTGCCCCCTGAGTTCAATCCCTGGTACAAAAAAAAAAAAAAAAAAAAGCTTGAGGCAGGTCCTTCATGAGATGTTCCAGAAGGCACTGTTACCATAGTAAATGCCAGCTTCATGTACAATACTGCTCCTGTGGACCTATGTGGGCTGAGATGGGGAGGTGGAGGACGGTAATACATGTAGTGCTGACCTGTACAGGCCTAGGCTGATGTGTATACTCATATCTTAGTTTTTAATTTAAAAAAGTACGTAAAGATCAAAATGGAAAAAAGCTAATAAARTGAGGATAAATAAAAAGCATTGCATATCTAATGTGTTTTGTATTTTAAGATAAATTTTACAAAATCAAAATGTTCATAAAGTATAAAAATTATAGGAAGCTAAGTTTAATTATTTATTAATTTATTGAAGAAACATTTTTTATAAATTTAGAGTAGCCTAAGTGTCCAGAAGTATATAGTTTAATGTCAGACCTTTTAATTCGCTCATTGGCTCAGCCAGTACAACTTCTAGTCCTGCAAGCTCCATCATGTCAAGAGCCTTGTACCTTTTTTAAATCTTTTCTCTTGTACCTTTTTTACATTTAAATATRTCTGGATGCACAAATATTTGGCATTATACTAGAATTGCCTGTTGTATTCAGTACAGTAACATGCTATATGRGTTTATAGCCCAGGAGCAGTAGTTATGTACCATACAGCCTAGAGTATAGTAGGCTGTACTTTCCAGGTTTGTGTAAGTACACCCTATGATGTTTRTACACAGATAAAAATCACCAAACAACACATTTCTCAGACTATCCCCACCATTGAGTGATGCCTGTTTACTGTTTTAGGCATGTTCTCTCTCTGCTAAAAATCAATATTCTATGAAGGCCCTCAATAAATTAGATCCAGTTAGATCTTCAGATATATCCCTTTCATCTTTAAAAAATACTGGGCACTGTCCTACACTTGAACTCAGGACCACTGACCCACATCCCATTAGAGACAGGGTCTCACTGAGTTGCTTAGTGCCTCACTTTTGCTAAGGCTGGCTTTGAACTCTGGATCCTCTTGCRTCAGCCTCCTGAGCTGCTGGGATTACAGGCTTGTGCTACCAAGCCCTGYTCCTTTTAAATTATTTTTTAATTCTTCTTTTCTAGTTGTAGATGGACACAATATCTTTATTTTTATGTGGTACTGAGATCGAACCCAGGGCCTCACTCGATGAGAGGCAAGCTCTCTACCACTAAGGTACAACCCAAGCCCCCCTTTTAAATTAAAAAAACATATATATTTTTTGTAGTTTTAGGTGGCCAGAATGCCTTTGTTTTCTTTGTATGTGGTACTGAGGATCGAACCCAGTACCTCATGCATGCTTGGCAAGTGCTCTGCGGCTGAGCTACAGCCCTAGCCCTGCTCCTTTTAAATTTTTGAGGGTCTCACTAAGTTGCTGAGGCTGGTGTCCACTTTGTGATCCTCTTGCCTCAGTCTGCTGAGTAGTTGCAGTTACAGGCATGCAACACCATGCCTGACTCCTGCCTGCCTTTTCTAGGATTCTATTACTCAAATCCCTTCATCTTATAATAACCTAAGGCACTGTTTTTTGCAGAAAGTACTGAGTGAATGCTGTCTAGGAATATTAAATTTTTGGTATCAGGCTTTGAACTCAGGAGCATTTCACCACTGAGCCACCTCCTACCCCACCCCTGCCTTTTTTTTTTTTTGTATTTTAGTTAGACATAGGTCCTTGCTAAGTTGCTGAGACTGGCTTTGAACTTGTGATCATCATGTCTCAGCCTCCTGAGCTGCTGGGATTACAGGCCTGTGCCACTGTGCCTGGCCTATAACATTTATTTTATTTGTCGTCTTGTCACATTTTTACTGTTAGGTTGTGAGCTCCTAGAGAAAGGGGCACTTTTGATTTTAGTACCTGGGATTAAATCCAGGGATGCTGAGCCACATCCCCAACCCTTTTTTTTTAATTTTTATTTTGAGATTTACTAAATTGTTTAGGACCTCAGCCTCCTGAGCCACTGGGATTACCAGTGACAGCAGTGGCACCTAGCCAACACTGTTGACAGAATGCTTAAATAACTTGAGACTCCAGTGAAACACCAAATTTCAGAACTGTTTTACATATAAAATTAGTATTTAGCAGGCAAAGTTAAATGTAGGGCCAAACTTTTAGTAACTTACTATAAATCTAAGTGTCTAAACAATGGCAAGCATGGATTATGTTTTTTAAATTTGGCCTTAAAATAATCTGTAAATTTCCCTTTTTCTTTCAGGGCACTGTGAATTGGTCTGTTGATGACATTGTCAAAGGCATAAATAGCAACAATTTGGAAAGCCAACTCCAAGCTACTCAAGCTGCTAGGTAAGTCTTATTTCTCTAGTACGGGCAACCTTAAGATATTAAGAATTGTTAGAATTTTTTGGCAGGAAGGGGACAGCTTTAGGCTTATTTCAAATTTTTCCTAARGTAAAACCAGGTATGGTGGCACACATCTGTAATCCCAGCACCTCAGGAGACTGAGGCAGGAGAATCACAAATTCAAGGCCAGCCCAGCAACTTGGAGACTCTGTCTCGAGTAAAAAAATAATAATAAAAGAACTGTGGGGKGTGGGGGCAGTTAATAGCTCAGAGGTACAGCACCCTGGGTTCAAGCCCGAATACTGGAAAAATTATTTTTTTCTGTAGGTGATACTTTTAACTATAATTTTCTATAATTCCTTAAAATTCCACCTTTAGTGATTAATTACTGTTAACTTTGTGGTGTACTTTAAAAATATAAAAATTCTGTCCAAGTAGTATTTCAAGTCAAATTTTTTGCAAGGAAAGTAATCTACATTACAGYCAATATTTATATTTTTTGGAAAAAAGGTATTTAGCTGTACCACATATGTAGCACCATATGTCATCTCTTCAGCTTGTTATGTTCCTGGTTGTCTTCAGTATGTAGTGCTCAGCAGGTAGTGCTTGTTTAAAAGATTGTCTAAAGTTCTAAATGTTCAAATTCCATTTTAAATTGTTTTTTCACACAAATGTCTTCTATTAATCACCCTTAACTTTTGTTTCTCTTTTTCTTTTCTCTTAGGAAATTGCTTTCTCGGGAAAAACAGCCCCCCATAGACAACATAATTCGGGCTGGTTTGATTCCAAAATTTGTGTCCTTCTTAGGCAGAACTGATTGTAGTCCTATTCAGTTTGAGTCTGCTTGGGCACTCACTAACATTGCTTCTGGGACATCAGAACAGACCAAGGCAGTGGTGGATGGAGGTGCTATCCCAGCRTTCATTTCTCTCTTGGCATCTCCCCATGCTCACATCAGTGAACAAGCTGTATGGGCTCTAGGAAACATTGCAGGTACTTCCACTTAAAATTCTTTTGACTGAATATATCTAATCATAATGAGGTGGGAGAAGGGCTGTGTTACAAGTTATAGTGACTTGTGTGTCAAGTTTTGAGCTTGCTTCTGGCCCTTATTAGGGATCAGAGAGGCATCTAAGTAAGTTAGGGAGTTTCTGAGGATGCATTCAGTCACTGAGTGTTGATGGTGCTGGACCTGCAGATGTGATTAATCTTGCTTTTGTTTTCAGGTGATGGTTCAGTTTTCCGAGACTTGGTTATTAAATATGGAGCAGTGGACCCACTGTTGGCTCTTCTTGCAGTTCCTGATATGTCAACTTTAGCAGTAAGTTACTRACATTAAGTAAAGCTACTTGCATTTTTATTCTGATTTCTCTTGCCTTTCAAGACAGGCCCTCATTACTTTTTTCTTTTCCCTCAGTGTGGTTACTTACGTAATCTTACCTGGACACTTTCAAATCTTTGTCGCAACAAGAATCCTGCACCCCCATTAGATGCTGTTGAGCAAATTCTTCCCACTTTAGTTCGTCTTCTGCATCATGATGATCCAGAAGTATTAGCAGATACCTGCTGGGCAATTTCCTACCTTACTGATGGTCCAAATGAACGCATTGAAATGGTTGTGAAAACAGGAGTTGTGCCCCAACTTGTGAAGCTTCTGGGAGCTTCTGAATTGCCAATTGTGGTAAGTTWATCATTAGATTAGAGCATATAAGTAAGGAGGATAACTGATTGATAATACTAAAATATTATTTATTTTCAGGCAATGATGGGACTCTTGCTTGTCAAATCTTTTAGGATAGAGAACTTTTTTTTTTTTAATATTTATTCTTAAGTTTTAGATGGACACAGTATCTTTATTTTACATTTATGTGGTGCTGAGGATCRAACCCAGTGCCTCGTGTATGCTAGGTGAGCACTCTACCATTGAGCCAAAACCCCAGCCCCGGGATAGAGAACTTTTGAACAATATTGGAAAAAGTAAAAGGTGACCATCGGAATTTTTTTTTT